CTGTTTTTAAGTCCTTTGGGTATAGACCGAGGAGAGGGATAGCTGGGTCAAATGGTGGTTCCATTCCTGATTTTCCAAGGAAGCTCCATACTGCTTTCCATATTGGCTGCACCAATTTGCAGTCCTACCAGCAGTACATGAATGTACCTTTTTCCCACATCCTCGCCAACACTTATTGTTGTTTGTCTTCATAATAGCTGCCATTGGAGAAAAAATAGCCTCTTAAACAAATGGGTGCTGGGAAAACTGGAAATCCATAAGCAAAAAAAAAATGAAATTAAAACCCTATCTCTTACCATGCACAAAACTCAACTCAAAATGGATCAAGGACTTAGGAATAAAACCTGAGACCCTGTGTCTAATAGAAGAAAAAGTAAGCCCTAATCTTCCTCATGTGAGATCAGGCCCCAGCTTCCTTAATAAGACTCCTTTGGTGCAAGAATTAAAATCAAGAATCAATAAATGGGATGGACTGAAACTAAAAAACTTCTTCTCAGCAAAAGAAACAATCTGTGAGGTGAATAGAGAGCCTACATCTTGGGAACAAATCTTTAACCCTCACACATCAGTTAGAGCACTAATCTCTAGGGTCTATAAAGAACTCAAAAAGCTAAGCACCAGAAAAACAAATAACCCAATCAATAAATGGGCCAAGTACCTGAACAGACACTTCTCAGAAGATGATGTACAATCAATCAACAAATATATGAAAAAATGTTCATCATCACTAGCAATTAGAGAAATGCAAATAAAAACCACTCTAAGATTGTCCACTCTTTTATTCTCAATATTCTGGCCACAGAATGTCTTTCTGTTCTTCAAAAGTTGAAAACTCAGGCTGAGGATATAGCTCAATTGGTAGAGTGCTTACCTCGCATGCACAAGGCCCTGGGTTCAATCCCTAGCACAACCACTATAAAAAAATTTTAAAAAATTAAAAAATAAACTAGTCTTTACCTTATGGTCTTTGCTTCTGCTATTCCCTCTGCCTAGATCAGTAGTCCATGTCCTTCTTTTTGAACTAATCCACAGTGTCCTTTATGGTTAGGCACTACACTATTTAGCACCTGAACAATCTCTACCCAAAATGACTTTAAATATAAAAACATTAGACTTCCAGCAGCTATGGAAACTTGGCTATTGTTATCAGTTAAAGTGAATTTCCTTTCATTAAAAGATGCCAGGACCCAAGAGCTGGGCTTTCGTTAACCTATTTGTCATTTTCTCAAAGCAGAAGAGAATCAAAAAGGGAAACTATTATTCAAACAAAAGATGTCTTATTCTCTTGCATCCTACAGAAACCAGGGGGGAAATGGTTCATACCTACCTCTTGGAACCATAAAAAAAATCATTTGACTTTAGAACAGGTAGAAGAATAAAGAACATGACAGTTGATAAACAGCCAGAGATAATCAATAAGCATTCAAGGACAGCAGAAAACTGCCAAATGAACTCCTGCCACTGGAAGTATCATATGCTGACCAATTTCTCTTTCTTTTATAACACACTCTGTGGAAAAAAGATTTGGTGTTTTGTGGAGAGTTTGCTCTGAGTGAATTAAATAGATCTAGTCATGATAGTTGGACCTCAGTTTTCAGACATCAGTCACAGTTGGAAATGGCACATGCTTTAGTCACCTCCACTTTCCCTTATTTTGCTACCATTAGCTCCATAATCCTATAACTAGCAAAGGATTTGGTCCCTTGTCATGAGGTAGCACTATGTAATCCCAGCCCGCACCTTCAACTCATCTGTGGTAGAGCCAGAGAATGGTGGTGATTTTGCTCTATGGGTCTCTGATATAACAGAAGAGACGACGCTATTCCCAGGTTGTTCCAAGTGGGAGGTGCCTCCCTTAGACTCTGGTCGTCCAGTATCACTGCTCTAACTCAGTGGTTCTGAAACTTAGTGGAAAGATTCTAGCATGGAGAGTGAGGCCTGCTGTGCTTTGTGTAACCCTGAGAAGTCACTCCTTTTTACTATTTCCTGATTCTGCCAGGGCTTAGAACATAGCAGACATACCTTGCATATGGCACCAGTGTGGGCTCTCATTCTTCTATCACTCTGCCCACTGTAGGCAGTCATGGCCTCAGAATTCTTCTCAACCAAGTGATGACCAATCAGACTCAAGAGGCATCATCTACAAATTGTGACTCCAGGGCCTCTTCTAGCTCTTAGGGTCTGAGGTTCTGAGAACGTGCCTTGAGGGTTTCTTGAGTCTGGAAGACATTGAGTCTGGGAGCCTCACCTCATGCCTTCTCTTGTATTCTACAGAAACCAGGGTGAAATGGCCCACACTTGCCGTGGAACCATCAACCTGGCCACTGCACATATTGATACTGAAGAGTCTTGTGGTATCTTGCTGATGAGTGGGGCAAGAAGTTACCACCTCAAGGCCAACTCAGAGGTGGAACGGCAGCAGTGGATCACCGTCCTGGAGCTGGCCAAAGCCAAGGCTGTTCGTGTGATGAGATCCCATTCAGGTAGTGAATGGTTGATATAGGGGTGTGTATGAGTGGTGTCATGGGTTTAAAAGGAGTGGAAATTGAAAGCATTTGGGGGACAGTGGTGACCAGGAGACCCGGCTAGTCTGAACCAACCTAGAAGGTCAGGTTGTATTTTTGCCTTTCCTACACAACTCATCATTCCTTAGCAGTGAGATAGATACCCAGCCACTCTGCCAAGGCTGTCACAGGTGGCTAGCAGTCTTTGGGATGCAAATGTTTATGGGGGCAGGGGCTGTGTGATCTTTCCCTGGACAAGTCTGGTTGCCAGACTTCAGCAGACATTTCAGGTGCTATGGTGCCTCAGGCCCATACTCAGCAATCTAGGGTGGGAGTCCAGGATTGTGCTTCTGTGACTTGGGCCAGGCTTTTTCCCATCGTCTCTTTGGTGAAGATTTTTTAGATGTTTAGCCAGAGCTGCTGTCTTTGCCATGGTGAGACACCAAACTCAGATGTTCTGAGCAAGATGTTTTACTTTTTACTTTAATAAATTTAGTTTTTAATATGCAGTGTTTTTATATAATTTATAAACCAATGGCTCCAAAAGCCTATGAGTAAAGTCTTGTCTTTGTACCTGTTCCCAGCCACCTACCCTGTTCTCTGACCCAGAAGAAATTAGAGGTACTAGTTTCATGCATCTTTACATAGATGCCCAAATCGGTGCTTATTTGTGAATAAATGCAGTGCTCTACCTTTCTTTTTACATTTAGCAGTATATTTTTTTTTAAATTTTCTTTATCAGTTCCTAAAAACTTCCTCTTTGTTTTCACAGCAATGTGATTTTTCATTGTATAGATATACTGTATAGATGTTTATTTAACCCATAGCCTATTGATGAAATAGTTGATTTAGGTTTTTGCCAATGTTTTAACGATACACTGGGTTGCAACATGTAAGCATTTCATTTCACACTTATGTAAATACAGTATACTAGGATTCAAGTTGCTGGGTCAGTGGGAGTGTATGTTTGTAATTCTGTGATGTATTGTCCAACTGCCTTCCATAGGGGTTGTATTGTGAGATGCCAGTTCAGACTGTGAGACACTCACCTTCCTACCACCTTGTGCATCCAGAGCCATAGTAAATGTTTCTGATGATTGAAAAAATGTGTCTACACAATCTGGGAGCAGGAGTTGGGCAGCTATGATCTTTCTGAAGTTGTAAGCAAAATGACATGTGTTTCTACAGACCTGTATAGTATTTCTGGGGAGACAGGGTTATAGGAGAGGAGCCACAGCCCTTACTCTCCAGGATTATCTCACAGCCTGGGTGGGGAGACATTGGATTCTGTGTAAGGAGCTTTAGCATAAGACAGGATGAGAGGGACTAGTGACATTTGAAAACGTCCTGGGCCCTATCTCCCCAAGTTATGGTCTCTCCCTCAGTGCTAGCTTCTCAATGTGCATTGAAGGGCACCTAATATCAATATGGCCTTCTTTTTTTATCTCACCCATTTGGAGTATGGGTTCTATCTTATTCTGTTTTCTGTTGCTATAACAAAATGCCTGAAAAGGTGGTAATTTATAAAGAATAGAGATTTATTTAGTTCAAGGCTTTGGAAGCTGGGAAGTCTAATGGCATGGCACCAGCATCTCCTCAGCTTTTGATGAGGACCTTCTTGTGGCATCATAACATAGTGGAGAACATCACTTGGCAAGACAGAGCAAGCCAGAGAAAACTCAATTTTATAACAAAGCCACTCCCACAATAACACATTAAACCATGAATACATTAATTCATATATTAATCCACCTCAATCACCTTCCAAAGATCGCACCTCTCAAATACCATTCACTTTTGACTTTGTGGATTAAGTTTCCAGCACATAAAGTTTAGGGGACATATTCAAACCATAATAGGTCTCCCTGCTCAGTGATTATTCTCCCTGGGGTCAACACTCATGCAACTCTGGTATGTCAATGATGATGTTGATCTTGGGATATATTACCCAGGGTACCACTCCATCTCTCCATGAAGGAGGGGGTTGGGGTCATATCAAGCAAGGGATATGCTGAGACCCCCCTGTAGGACCTGTGGTCTTAGCTTGGGATGCCTGTTGAGAGCCACTGTGGTGACAAATGTGGCTGAGCTCAGGACAGCCACGTTGGCCAAGTGAGGATGCACTGCTACTTACCAAAGAACTAATTTCTTCTTTCTGCCTTCTTTTTTTCTAAGAATGGATGAATGAATGAAATCACTTCATTTTCGAGAAGCATCCTGAAAATAATGTAGTTTGTAGCATTTACTGGATTAATTATCATAAAACAATTTTCTTGGAACAGCCAGTAGGAAGGGTTTCTTTTGTGGTTGGGGAGAAGTGCTTGCTAATTCAGCTGACAGTATGAGAGACTGGTAGTCTGGACTTGCTTTAGGGGATGTGGGAACCCCTAAAGTAACAGCCTCACCTACCTTCATTTCATGAGATGCAGCACATAGCTTGTGTTTCCAAGGGGATAGCCTTCAGAAGGGTAAGGATACAGAACAGATTACTAACATTGGAGATAAAAGTGGTGGTGTCATTACTATTGACCTTACAGAAATAAAAATGAACTATAAGAAAATACTATGAATAATTGCCTGTCAACGAATTAGATAACCTAGATGAAATGATCAAATTTCTAGAAGCAAAAATATTACCAAGACTGAGTAAAGAAAAAATAGAAAAATCTCAATAGACCTACAATAAATAGATTATTGAATCAGTAATCAATGATCTTGCAACAAAGAAAAGCCCAGGACAGGATGGCTTCACTGGGGAATTCTAGCAATAATTTAAAGAATTTATACCAATCTATCCCAAAATCTTCCCAAAAAATTAAAGAGGAAGAAACATTTCTTATTCTGTGAGTTCAAACTGATAACAAATACACACAAGAATATCATGAGAAATGAAAACTGTAGACTATTATCTCTTATGAATATAGACTCAAAACCCTTAACAAAAGACTGGCAAGCAAAAATTCAACAGTGTATTAAAAATATTATGCACCATGACCAAGTGAGATTCATCATAGGAAGCAAAAGGTGGTTCAATATAATATTAAAAATATTATGCACCATGACCAAGTGAGATTCATCATAGGAAGCAAAAGGTGGTTCAATATAATAAAGTCAATTAATGTAGTATACCAATTTGAAGGGAAAACAAAGAACATGATTATCTCAACTTAATGCTAAAGAAAAGGATTTAGCATATATCCACTCTTTCATAATAAAAACACAAAATAGGAATGAAAGGTAATTTCCTTAAAACAATAAAGGACATGTATGAAAAACCTATAGCTAAAGTCATACTCAGATCAAAAGTTTTCTTAGATCAGAAACAAAGATGCCCACTTTTACCACATCTATTCAACACTGTACTGGAAGTTCTAGATAAAAATTATGCAAGAAAAGGAAACAAAAGTACAAATTAGAATGGAAAAAATAAAACTTTTTCTATTGGCAGACAAAATGATCCTACACATAGAAAAAAATCTCAAAGAATGTACACACACACATACACACACACACACACACACACAACAATTAGAGTTAATAAATAAATTTAGAAAATGTGCAAAGGTACAAGATTGACACAAAAATATCACTTGTATTTCTATATACTGGCAATTAATGATCTTCAAAAGAAATGAAATCAATTTTATTTATATAGCATAAGAAAAACTGAATAAATATGACAACTAAATTCAAACTAAAAACCATTGCTGAAAGAAATTAAAGACCTATATAAATGGAAAGTCATCCCATGCTCATAGATTGGAAGATAATATTGTTCAGAACTGAAAACACTATTCAAACAAAAACTGCTCCTAGAAATCTATAAAGTCAATGCAAATTTTATCAGAATTCCATGTTTCTTTTTACAGAAATGAAAAGCTGAACCTAAAATTCACATGGAATTAATTTCAAGGGACTCCAAGTAGTCAAGACAATCTTGAAAAAGAAAAAACTTGAAGGACTCATATTTCTGATTTTAAACCTCATTATGGAGCTATAGTAATCAAGACAATGTGGGACTGGTATAAAGATGGTCATACAGATCAATGGGATAGAACTGAGAATCCATAAGTAAGCTCTATATCTATGGTCAATTGATTATTAACAGAGTACCAAGATCATTTAAAGGATAATTTCTTCAACAAATTGTACTGAGATGACTGGATATCCATATACAAAATAAAAAATGAAGTTGGATCCCCTTTTTCATGCCATATACAAAAATAATTCAAAATAAACCAGAGACCCAAATTTAAGAGTCAAAACCATACAATTGTTAGAAGAAAAAATTATAGTAAATTTTCATGACCCAGGATTTGGCAGTAATTTTCTTAAACTACGACACCAAGAAAATTGCAATGAATAAAATATAAACTGACTTCATCAAAATTAAAAACTTTTTTGAGTATCAAAGGGTCTATCAAAAAATGAAAAGATGACCCCCATCATAGGACAGAATACTTACAAATTATATATATGATATAGCATCTAGAACATACAAAGAAACCTTTAAACTCAATCATAAAAAGACAAACTACCCATTAAAAAAGGGCAAAGTACCTGAGTTGGCATTTCTCCAAACAAGATATACAAATGGCCAATAAACACGTGAAAAAAAATCAACATTATTAGTCATTGAGGAAATGCAAATCAAAACCATAATGAGATACTACCTCTTGCCAGTGGGGTGGTTATTATAAAAAGGAGGGGAAGGAAGAGAAGAGGAGGAAGGGGAGGACTAGAATGAAGGGAAAGGAACAAGAGAAGGTATTGCCTTGGTGGGAAATAGTTTGGTGGTTCCTCAATAACTTAAACATACCCATGACTCAAGAATTCTACTCCTTCCAAAATAACTGAAGATAGCATTCAAACATAAATTTGTACATGAATGATAATAGCAGTGTTATTCACAATAGCCCAAAGGTGGAAACATTCCACTTGTCCATCAATGGATGAGTGGATAGACAGAATATTCATAC